ATTAACCTCTCAGTAATTGGGCATCTTTACTGCACAATGTCACAGGGGGCCCCATTATCTCCTATTGCCCGGGGGTCCCATGAGTTGTCAGTCTGCCCCTGTTTGTGCATGTACATCCAGCCATTTTCCAATGTACAGTATATAGTTAAGAGTTAAAGTAGAACTATAGGCAAAAGGTTTTTTTTTTTTCATTTTGGATAGGATCCAATAGGGGAAGTTTTATCCCGTCAGACTTTTTTTTTCACCATCTGTGTCGCATTGGGGAGATTACCCATCACTTTCTATCTCTTAGCCAAAACAGGATTTGAGAGGAAATCACTGCAAATTAAAGGAATCCGTGGGGCACCCAAGGTCACGAGAACTAGAGTACCCATTAGAAGATTTCCCCTCTATTACTTTTCTGGGGACAACCCAAAATTTTTAATTTTCTTTTACTAAATCCACCTAATGGGGACACAGGCAGCAATACAAAATCTATTAGGTTTTCTTATCCATCTCCACTCTGCTCAAAACTAAAAAAAATTGTTTTTTGCCTTTACTTTAATAGTAATGCTTGCAATAGATGGCCGGACATTTCTCAGTAAACATTAGAATGACAAGTGTCAATTCTTGAACAAGCCACATCATTACCATACTGTGCTGCATAGAACACATGTTCATCTAACGAATTTGGTGCTAATTTGAAAGCGTACAGATGCTTTTTGTGTAGCAGAGGCACCTGTTAGATGGATTTTAAGAAAGGTACTCATAAGAGCCATAGGACAGTTATGAAAACATTTCCAATGGATGATTGTTTTTTTGAGAAATAATTTATTATTTAGATACCATCAATGAATGTTTCATGACTAACCATCACTTCTACAAATTAGCAGTGCATCTGTATCCCAGATTCTACAACAAATGAGTACATTTAAAACTCATGATCTAATGAACAAGACACTATTCACAAAACTTGTATGGGCCTATTAGGGTTCATGTACATGAGTCTTAAGGAAGCATTTTAGATGCCTGGTGTAAATTCCGGGTGCTTTTCCTAACCTAATGCAGCCTCGTTTGTCACATATAGACTGATATACAAGTGCATGGCTGTACATGGTCATGCTCTTGTAAACTCTGATGTTTCTTTAGATTGGTGTGTTCCTGCACATGCATGTCCAACATTCTGAAAATACCTCGGACATGCAAGTGCAGGTAAACTCTGATGCAAAAAAGCACTGATGTTTACAAGAGCATGGCCACATACAGCCATCCATGTGATTGGCAGGCTGTACTTGACACATGCAACTCCCCAAGTACAGGAAAGTCCTGGGAAAGTATGCCAGACATCTAAAATTCCTGTGTAAGCCTTCTGTGCATACACCCACAGTCTTCCAATTATGTTGAAACATACATCCTTACCTTTTTTAATTATTTTAATCGTGGACATGTTTTGAGGATTCATTCCATTTAGTATTTATAATTTATACTGTATGTGTGAGCTAGATGACACATCTGAGTTTGAACTAATGTATTAAAACCTTACATTTGATACTACAATATATGCAGGATCCTTTGAATGACCTTGTTAGCAAACCAAGTTAGACGTTAATAATAATACACAAAAAAAAACTTCCTCAGTTAATATAGTCTAATCTTTGGTAGTCATCTTGACTTTACAGAGGACAAACACTACTGAATATTGAAAAACAGAAAAGATTGATGTTTTAAAGGAAAATACTCTGCATTGTATTTTATTCTATTGATTAATATGAAGTACCACAAAATGGGCACTTTGCAGCAGTTTTAAGGGTTTTATGTGTTTTGGTAGGAAGCCATGAGTTTACTTGGTATAAGAAGCTGTATATACAGAGCCAGATTTCTGTATAGCCAACAGATTGCAAATCTCTCAAAGTCAGCACCCAGCTGCCTGAACATTATTACATTGTCTATCCAGTTGCATTGAAAGCATAATACATTGTATGATTAATAAGTTACATTCTCATCTCACTTGGGACCTAGTTCTCATTTAGCTGTTTCTTTTTGCTTCCATCAATATGGTAATCAGAACATGAATCTCATTATGGATTTTTTAAAATAGCATTGATGTGAGCTCAACATATGATTCTGATCTTGTTATTGGGAATATAGGGCATTAGGCCAAGACATCTTAGGTATTTGCCATATGTAGCACTATCCTCGCAAGGGCCACTTGTACGATGTTACGGCACAGTGTCACAGTAAGGCACAGTGTATTTCTGCAGCCAAATACACACACACACACTTCTGCTCGTTGTCTCCAATGACCAGTCTAGGGGGGATGTTTGTTTTTGGAGTTTTATTGTAGAACTGGGGATAGGGATGGGGAATTGTAGTAGGATAGTCCAAAATTAGAACAATTCACACTGAGGACATCTAGCTGATATCTTAGTTGAGCACTTTTGAAGTCTTAGCTGAAGCAGATAGCAGACTTCCCTTTACTTCGTAGCAATAAGTAGTTTAGGAGTGAGCAAAGTCTCATTTTGCAGTAGTACTAGTTACAGGGCTGAGCTCCTCAGGTATAAGCCAGTTACGACAGACTGCAACAGCCCAAAGGTAACGTAGCTGAGCAAAGTTCTTTGTATTAGCAACACTTAGACAAGCTCTTCAGAACACTAGCCAGTGTTCCCTTTTTCAAGACCCATGCTGACTATCAGACACCAGGAGAGGTAGCAAGCACACAGAGTCCCAAAATTCCTCAATGTCAGTACTCACAAGGCTCAAGGACAGAATGGTTGCCTTCTTCCAAACTTCCAAGCGAAACCCTCCAGTGATACCAGTCAAAGCTTTGGAGGACAGCTCCCCTCAGTCAGCTTACTGAAGAACCAAGGTCACTCTCTCTATCTTCAGGCCTTCAGGTCGACCCACCTGAGGCTGCATGGCAGCAAGTGCCAAGCAAGATGGCCTGCATCCTGCCTGGCTGGTGCAATACACTCCTGGGAAGGACAGTGAACCCATGTGCTCTAAATACCACTCCCAGCATTCAATAGGGCAATCCTACCCTGCAATTGATCAGGGCTGTATCCATATTCATGCTGTGCATTTGCCAAGCCCTTACCCATGTTCAGGAAGGCTCTCATAGCTGCCTGAAGGTGGGCAGAACTCAGTCCAACTGTCGGGGATCGCCGCGGCGCTGGTCTCGGCGCAGGCGCAGTGCACCGCCCTGTGCAGGGACACGGGCACTAGGGCCGAGCCGACCGCGGCAATCGAGCTCGCACATGCGCAGTAGAGGCCGCGGGGCGCGCACCTGGCACCAGTGACTGCGCAGGGCGGGATATTTAAATGGCCCTGAGCTGTCATTCAGTGCCTTCTGGTCTTCTCCTGTATCCTGAACCTGTTTCTAGTAAGTTGCTGACCCGGATTTGTACCTGACCCTGCTGTATTCTCCTGCCCAGACCCTTGCTTTGCCTGACCTCTCTCCTGGATGCCCCCTATTGGACCTGACCTGCTGTTGCTGACCTGGTGTGTGACCCGACTATTCTCTGCCCGCTGCTTTGTACCGCACCGCCCCCATAGTTACCGACCCGGCCTGCCTGACTTTGCACTTGCTCAGCCATCCATCCATCCATCCCTCTCAACGGGGTCTCCAGACCTCCTCATATCAGGCTCTCCCCCGTTGGAGCCCCTGGCGAATACCCCTACCACTGACGGGTATCCTCAGTAGTCATGACCTGGTCCCGGGGTACTCCAAGTCCATCCCCACCATCAGGGGCCCTGGTGAACAAGTACTCTGGGGCTTAGACTCCGTACGCTGGGAACGACCGATCAGTGGATGCTAGTGGTGTGTCGCCGCCGGGCGGTCCCTTACACCAACTCTAACAGCACCAGAGCAGCATAAGCAGACCTAACTCATCAATCACAGCACTCTGTTAAGCAGAATACCACACTGAATTTACCTGACAGCCTCTCTGGTAAGCAGAGAAACACAGCTATGCTTAATCTAACTATACACATCCTAGCACCTGACTAAGAGGGGCTACACATATACAGAGATGGTAACTGTAAGATTTAAAGAGAAGTATAGCCAAAGTTATTTTGACTATACTTCTCCTGTAGATCACAGGAGTGCAGTTTATTCTCCACTCTTGTGATCTGTTTTCAGCTGACAGATGTCCACTGTATGCTGATGTCACTCAGCCAGTCCAGATTCTGAAAAGATCCTGATCACATGATCAGGATCCACCCAGAAGCCTGGACTGGAATGAATCAGTTCAACCTAAGGATTATGATAAAAGGAAAATCTGTAATGAACGAATGCATTCGAAAAAAAATAAACATTTCCAGCTTGTTCATGTCTACCTAATAGGTGTTCTAATCCATCTTCACTCTGTTTAAAATTAAACAAAAACTAAAAAACTTTTGCCTCAAGTCATACTTTAATAGCAATTCTTGCACAAGCTATGTATCTACCAGGTTAAGCTTCATGAAACGCATGTTCTTTAAATTAATTTGGTACTATTTGGAAAAAGTCCAGAAGTTTCCTGTGTAGCAGAGGCACCTGGATGGATTTTGAAAACGTACTCATAGGGAATGTAGGATAATTATGGAAAAACTCCCAATGGATAGTTGTATTCTTGTTTAAGAATTTTTTATTTCGATAACATCAATGAACGTTTCATGATTAGCCATCATTTCAACAAATTAGTGGTACTGTATATCACAGATTCTACAACAAATGAGTACATGAACACATGATCTAAAAAATTGGACACTATTCACTAAATGCATTTTAGATGTCTGGTGTAATTTATGGATGCTTTCTCTCACTTGGGGAGCCTTGCATGCTACGTATAGCCTACAGTGAATGGCTGTACTTTGCCGTGGTCTTGTAATGAAGGTTTTTCTGAGTTCAGCTTGAGAGGGTCAGTCAAATAAGGGGGAGCAACTCAGTGGGCCTAGCATGGCATACAGTGTAAATCCAATATGTGTATAAATAGGGACTTTCAGAAGGATCAACCTCACCGTGCTGCTCTTGTACACACATTTTTCCTTAACCTCCCTGGCGGTATTCCTGAGTGTAGCTCGGGGTAAAGTTTCAGTACCAAAAGTGGAAACCCCGAGCTACACTCGGGAATACCTTGCAGAGTTGCCCAAGGATTCCCTGCAGCACTTACCTTGTCCTGCGCTCCCGCGATGTGTCCCTTGCAGCGTCCCCAGCCATCTCCTCCGGCCGATGCCGGCATCCGTCTTCCATGTTCCGGTCCCTGCGAGCGTCGGGACGTACAAGATGTACGGGGGCCGGAACCGGCAGGAAATGTGAAAATTTTAAAAACTGACATTCACTAATACACTAAAATCACATAGTAAAACATTACTGTTTCAAAACATTTCACATACATTTTGTCCCTAGTGCTTTGTCCTGTGCCCTGCCTGCATTTTTACTGTTTTTTCTCCCTGGAAACTTAGAAAAGTCCATGGCGTCCAAAAAGCCTCCCTTTAGATCAAGAGCAGTTTTAGACCAGCTAGAATACAGCGATAGTAAATCAGAACCACTTGCAGAATTGAGTGATAATGATTCGTGGGGAAATTCGTCATCCGACACAGAAAACTATTCTGCGACTGAGCTCAGCGATGTACGAACTTGGCACTCTATTTAAAATTTCAGTGTTTTTGGTGTGATTATATTATTGAATTAAATTTATTATTATTATTTTTTTTTATGATTATTTATTATATTATAATTTATGATTTTGTGTTTCAAGTTTTATCATACCCGGGATGTTTACTAGACTCTTGTTCGGACAGATTTCAGTGAGTTATTCCTAAAAATTACAGCCTACAATAAAAAACTACATATTTCCATGCAAAAAAATGTACCGCTTTCAGCACAGAAATATGGACATAATCAGAGAACTAGGGAGGTTAAAACATATCTTATTGTTATTGAAAACATTTTTAGCACTTCTGCACCTATGTCTCCTCAATGGTTATTTCTGCTAAATAGAAAAAAAGATCCAATGCTAACCTTGCACAACAGCCTCACTCCACTTACTGAACTTTGACTTTCATGGCAAAGCCCAAGCTTTTTAATCATAATCCATCTGAGCAGTTCTATTTGTGGTATGTTTACATAAGATAACTCTTGTGTAGAATGGGATCAAAAGATTTCTACAGAACAGGTATAGAATAGAAACATCATTTCCATTGTCTATCAGCTTGCAACTTTAATGAAAAAACATTTAACCTTTACATTATTTGTGAGAGCACTAGAAATAAGAAGTGCATTTATAGGACATGCCTGACTTTTGTCTGACTAAGCTCTTGAAAAACACAATCCTAACTAGCCATTCTGTTATCAGCAAGAAAAGATAAAATGTAATAAGTGAAAAGAATTGCTGGCTTACCTATTTACATAAACTGTAGTTTTACAGTGTCTATATGTCAAAATATATCATGTGCGATACAATGGGTATCTTATTGCACAAAAAATGTTAATTGAAATATATTACTGAAAAGCCACATAAGTACTCTGTGAACCAGGAATGGCTAATTTACCGTGTTTAAAATAATAAACTATGCTTGCTGTATTTACCCTATTGCTCAGCGCCCCCTTCATTTCTATAGAAAGGCCATTCATAAAAAAAAGTATCTAAACACAAGAACAGAAAATTAAAGGGTAAATCCACTTTTGTAAAAAAATAATATAGCAAATAAATAAATATAGAAATATATATATATATATATATATATATATATATATATATATATATAGCATACAGTATATAGTTGCTACACACACCATATTGTAATTCTATTAAAAATTGTCTTTCCATTTCAATCTGCAGCACTGTAACTTTTTGTATTATTCAATGCGCTATGGCAACCTGGAGGCGTTCTCCAAAACTGTAATATCCTGCTTGTGTGATTGGCTCACTGATTTTGCCATACGTCTGCTCTAAGATACAAGTGAGCTTATGGACACCCTCTGAAACAAAAATGTCATTTTTGGTGACATACTCCCAAAGAGAAATAAAGGATGTAGACCCTGTTATGTTCCTCATTAGAACCCAGCAAGGCCATATACAGCAATCCTGGGTGCCTGTCATCTCTTATCAATCAAGCAATTATTCAATCAATCTTAAGGATAATTTAGTAATTTCAATACTAGGCATTTTCACCGCCTTCCTGTCCAGGCTAATTTTCAGCTTTCAGCGCTGTCACACTTTGGAAGACAATTGCGCGATCATGCAACACTGTAACCAAATGAAATTTTTCTAATTTTTTCAGACTGAGATAGAGCTTTCTTTTGGTGGCATTTAATCACCACTGAGTTTTTAAAATTTTTGCTGACCAAGCAAAAAAGACCAAACATTTTGAAAAAAAAAGTTTTCTTAGTTTCTGTTATGACATTTTGGAAATAAGTAATTTTTGTTATTCACTGATGTGCATTGATAAGGCTATACTGATGAGCACTGATGAGGCTGCACTGATGGGTACTGACGAGGCTGCACTGATGAGCACTGATGAGGCTGCACTGATGGGCACTAATGAGGCTGCACTGATGTGCACTGATGGACACTGATGAGGCGGCACTGATAAACTGCACTGATGGGCACTGATCAAGAGGCACTGATAAACTGCACTGATGGGCACTGATGAGGAGGCACTGATAAGCTGCACTGATGGGCACTGATAGGGCTGCATTGATAATCAGGACACTTAGTGTAAACAATGTACACACTATGCCCTGTAAGACTTGCCAGTTATCAGCTCTCCTTTCCTCGCACAGAAACAGCATGTGAGGACAGAAATACTAATAACTAGCAAATCTGTTTCCATGTGACCAGCTGTGAATGGACTTAGCTGATCACATGGTAAAGGGCCGCTGTGATTGGCCCTTTACTGTGATCTGTGATCAGCTGTGTCCAAAGGACACAGGGTTCACAGAGCGCATACGATGCACACCCAGGGAAAAGCTGGAGGCATGCAAATGGAAGGACATCCATGGACATCCTCCCAAAACTGGGGAGCTGCTCTGTAGTCCTCTTTCAGCTACAGTGCAGTCGGGAAGAAGGAAGAAGGGACTGCTTTCTTTCTCTTAAACCTAACTTTCATGCTACTTCAACCATGAACTTTCAGGCAATTTAACCATTTTCTGATCACATAACACATATATGTGATGGCAGGGGAGGGTAGGCTTTAATGCCAAAATGCCACACATCCATGGGAACCAAGGCTTCTGTACTGAAAGTATACTCACTGAGCGCTATCAGCAGTGTGACTAAGCTGTCATAGCTCCCAGTCTCTGATTATAATCAGGAGCCAGAAGGATGAACACCCAATCATTTGACCACTGTGACCCTCCACCCAGTGTTATGATCCAGTTAAAGGGCCTCTGGGAGAGGATGGGAAGAAGTTAAACAAAACATTTTGATTATATTTCTTTTTTAAAATGTTTTCAATATGTTCCAATTTTCTACTTTCATGCCCAACTTGAATGTGTAAATAAAACAAATCCTACGGAACATGACAAGTTATTTACTCATCTACCTTTTGAATGTATCAGCTACTTGCTTGGTCTATATTTCACAAAGCTGTTCAATAAAATAGATTTAAACAAAATTAAACAAACATCTCTCTATCACGATTTATTCTAGTAAAGCATATAAATACACATGTTTGTAATCATCACACTGCCCAAATCTGTAAAATTCTTCAATCCTGTGACTGTAACATGCCTACAAGCTATGCTGGCCATTCCAATTACATAAAAGTCTTTCTCAAATGACCCTCAAAAGTCGTATAATTGTTTATTTATTACAGGCAGGGCGGGTGGATATGCATACAGTACACATAGTCATAATTGTGCTGTCCTTTGTTTCAGATAAATATTAAAGAAACACAACTATGGCATGTTTTCTAACAAAAGCACTCTCCGCTCAAAGGGCAGAAGTCAAGGAAAGTTTGATTGTGAAGTCAAAATATCCTTCTCACTTTGTTATTTTAGCCTCCCTTTCTTCCTCTTGATTACTTTACTCAACATAATCTGTAGTATTCAGTGATAAACTTGCTGGCACACGATTTATAGACTAACCTAACTCTTTTCCCTTACTTATCTTCCTGACCAGTCAAAGAAAAGCTATATTTAGTGTCTCCTTGGCGTCTATCCTCTTTTCTTAACCTTCATTTGTTCTGCATGAGTGAGGCCTTTTTATATATGTATTTTTCAGGCAGGATAAAAAGAAAGATAGCCATGCAGCCTCACCCCACATGAATTCTGTAAATACTTTTCACATTCAAAGTCATGGACAGTTATAAATGCATGGCTAACAGCTGAAGACAAACTCACTCTGATAACATCACCTTATTTCATGAAATGACATATCCGCTGTAGTCAAAAGACCTTTGTTATGCCACATGAAATTACTGTACGTCAAAAGAAAACCATATAGCTTGTACCATATCGATCCCCTTGTAGCAGAACTTGGCAATCAATTGTTGATCTTCCATAGTTGATTTTTTTTTTAATGACCAGAAATCACCAGAGTAGACTAAAGAACTCTAATAAATTTAATTTTTTAGATATACACATAGAAGAAATCAGCCTAATCTAAACAATCTTATGGGTGTTAAAGAGGAACTTTGGACAGATGTTAACAAGGCCTCTTATGGCCAAAGCTAGCCATACACATTTTTTACCTTTCATCCACCGGTGGATGCAGGTGGATGGAGGAATCCCACCTCTGGGATATTGTATATTGATATCATCACCCACCACTGTCAAAATGCATTGATAAGCACTTGCTGCTCACTAGCTGCTGCCACTTATCAAGGAAAATTTTCCAACATGTCCCTTTGAGAGAAATTGATCAAACATTTGATTTCTATTGAGTGGGACTGGTCATATACTGATCAAAATTTGCCAAGTCCCTTCCCAATTTCAATCAGTGTATGGCAGCCTCACCCTACATGAATTCTGTAAACACTGTTCACATTCAAAGTCATGGACAATTATAAATGCATGGCTAACAGCTGAAGACAAACTCACTCTGCTAACATCAACTTATTTAATGAAATGATATATCCGCTGTAGTCAAAACACCTTTGTTATGCCAAATAAAATTGCTGAAAACCTATGTAGCTTGTACCATATCGATCCCCTTGTAGCAGAACTTAGCAATCAATTGTTGGTCTTCCAGAGTTGATTTTTTTTTTAATGAACAGAAATCACCAGAGTAGACTAAAGAAGAACTCTAATCTATTTATTTTTTTTAGATATGCATATTGAAGAAATCAGCCTAATCTAAACAATCTTATATTGGAACTTTGGGCAGATGTTAACAGGGGATCTTATGGTCAAAGTTGGCCATACACTTTTTTTACCTTTCAGCTACTGGTG